GGTGCAGCATGTGATAGATATTGCAACCACATGCAGTATCTTTAGGGGAATATTGTATTAACCTTATGAATGTTCTACATATTGTTGTGTTCTTCTCCATGGGAGAGGGTTACCACAGCTCCTCGAGGAACTAAAAACAGTGGGAATAATTACTGCAGCCCCTGGGATTGCAGAGCGCTCCAGAGAAGTACCGTTCACTGGGGTAGTTTGCAGTACAGGAGGCCCAACAAGCCCAAGACACAGAAAGGTATAAAAGGTGTATTTTAACCTAAGAGAGGGCCTTCATTTTGATTCAATAACCTGACATGACCTTTTGGGGGGGGGGGAGAGAGGGAGCAAATCTTGCAGAAGAGCTGGAAGGAATAGAACCTGCCAGCATTTCCATAAGACTGATTGGAGCGGGAGGGGGGAGAGGCTAGTGGTAAAGTGTTTAGAGCCTTTCATTGTTTTATATGTTTTCTCTGTATGCTTTTGTCCTTAAATAAATGTACTCTGCATTGACAGAGCCGTTTGATTACTTATAATCACTGGCATTCACTGGTCATTGCCCTTGAAGAGAGAAAAAAAGAAGCACAGGGGCTGGACATTAGTCAGACCTGCTGGGATTAACACAGTGAATTCAGCACCGTATTATTGCGGCAAATTTTCAGGGGCGGAAGCTCCCCTCCGCGCCCCGCCCCCCTGCTCCAGCTCACCTCCGCCTCCTCTGCAAGTGTGCTGCGGCGTCCTGTTTCTCTCCCCTCCCAGTGCTTGCACTGCGAAACAGCTGTTTCGCGGGGCAGGGAGAGAGGGGGGAGGAGGGGGGAACGCCACACGCTGGGGGAAGAGGCAGGTCCGGGGGCGGGGATTTGGGGAAGGGATCCAATAGGGGAAGGGAGGGGGAGGAGTTGGGATGGGGACTTTGGGGAGGGGGTTGGAATGGGGGCAGGAAAAGGGCGGAGTCGGGGCAGGCCAGGGCGGCAATTATTTCCCGGCCTAGGGGCGGCAAAATTATTAATCCGCCACTGAGTGAATTGCATGGGAGCTGAAGAGCGGTGATAGATAGAGGTATGTCTACACTGCAATTAGACACTCATGTATGGCCTGTGAGAGCTGACTCAGGCTCACAGGACTTGGTCTAAGTGGCAGTTTAATTGCAGTGTAGATGTTCTGGGACCTTCCCATCTTGCATGGTCCTAGAGCCCAGGCAGCAGTCCGAGCCCGAACCTGAAACCCTACTCCACAATTAACTAGCCCTGCAAGCCCAAGCCCCATGAGCCTAAGTCAGCCTGTATGGGCCAGCCATGGGTTTTTAACTGCAGGATAGACACAGCTCTAGAGGCCTGAGACTTGAGTTAGCATTCCTGGAGCAGACCACAGAGCGGGGTTAAATGTGCAGAACTGTACCACCGACCATAAAACAAAGAATCATAGCTACATACATCACAGGTTCAAAAATGTGTCAGAGGGAACAGTGCTACAACACCACAAATGCTATAGTCCTGGCCCCATTCAACTCAATGGGAGTTTTGTCATTGTCGTCAATGGGACAGGATTTCACCCTAAAGTGTTAGCGCTCATTCCATGTTAAGTAGCTCTGCAGACTGAGTTCTGCTTTTATTTAAATAATATGGGAGAAGGATATAGTGGGATAGTTCACTCAGAAATGGTCTTAAATGGGTCAAAGCTCATTGTGACTAGAATAACTCTAAAACGTAACCACGATTCTGATAAAATTTTAGTGTATCATTGTCATGTATTTTTAATAGTTTAAACTTAAAATTTACATTTGAATTTAGACAAAAACAGAAGTAGGTGTCAGGACTTAATTCAGGTTATTAGTCAGATCAGACTCTGTAGCCTGGCACAGTTTAGCTGGTTTAAAAGATGTCTTAGCACTCAATACCCCTGTGGCAACAAGCACTTCCACAATTTTTAAGGGGTCAGTAGCTCATACGTTTGTATCAATACAGTATTTAGCTGCTGCATTTGCAGCTGATCACAAGCCTTGACAAAAATTATAATCACACAGTTAGCTGGGCTAGAAAAAAACTAAAGACACATTCAGAACTATTCTCATTGAAAAATGCCCCTGAAGCAGCTGAGCAATTTGGATTTTGTCTAAAGACAATAACCCAGGATGGCTAAACCCTGAAAATTCTCATCACAGAAAGGGAAATAGTGAACAAGTTAATAATTCTTATAAGGTAATATTCTGTTTTTGTTGTAAAAAGTTGATTTAATTTAAATACTTCCTAGTTGACAGGGGTGGTTATCTTCTTGGTGAGAAATGTCAAAAACTCCCTAAAGCATCACAGCGCACAGACACTTTGAATGTAACTCTCAATCTCTCATTTACACAAGCAGCCATGGGATGTTTAATTAGCACAAAGGGTCAGAACCTTTGTTTTACATCTCGGCCAGTTGAATAGTGCCCTCAGTCTTAGTTTATTTGCCTTTACTAATGTTCTGACACAGTGGCGTGGCACTGTACATTATTCTATGAGCTCCTAGAAAGAGACAGAAAAATAAATAAAATAATTTGCTTTCAGTCAAGTCAGTAATTAATCTAGATCTTAGACTATTAGAGAGAGTGCTTTCCTAAACTAAGGAGGGGTAAATCCTGGTAAGAAATAATGGAGAAAGTGGTTCTCATCCATTATTGTTCACTTTGTAGGTCAGTTGCAATCCTCAATGCTACCTTGATGGGGTCCATCAAATACTAATATTTCCAGGGTCTCCAAAATGCTAATGCCCCCCATTGTGCTAGGTACTCTCTACATATATAATAAAAAAACAACAACAGTTTCTTCCACAAAGACCTTGCAGACTACTCTTATGATGGGACAACAACAGGTGGAGGAAATGGGTGGGGAGGATGACGACAATAATTGTGATTAAATTCAGCACACTAAGTGCCTCCCCTTGTTCATGCACTCCACGATCAGCAGGATAAAGTTGTTCTGCAAAGCCACAAAGTGTAAAAATCACATTTTTTGCTTTGCATCCTCTAAAAGACCATGAAACACCAAGCTGGGGAAAAGGAAGTTTTGCTGATTTTTCAAAGTGAGTCCAGTGCTTATGATCTGAACTCCTTTACCTTGAATTGCTTGTGCATAAGTTAACCCAACAGTAGCAATGTCTGAGCTTGTCTGTGTGCAATGTGTCTATGGACTTGACATTTATATTTAAATATTCAATATGAACAAACTTAGTAGTTGCTCTATATCATAAACAACATTTGTAAATACAATCTAATGCTCCAATTTTGTTTGAATGTATATCTTTTGTTTTGATTTTATGTTGTGTAAGAAAGAAACCTTCCTACCCTTTAAAGAAATAACAGGTGTCTCTGAGAGTACACTATACTGCTCCCTTGTATCACCCCAATATTTTTTGCTTAATTGGTGCTCTTCCTTAACCTCAATTGCAGCCCAGAGTTTAGCTTGCAGTTCTCAAGTTTCTCAGTGAAATGAATCCATTTGTTTATTTACAAGCACGTCAACCCACCCACTTGAAAAATCCCAAATGTCAAAAGTCATGGATTATTTTTTTCCTATCTAAACCTGAAAATAACAATGCCTAGGGCTCCAATGACACCTATGGCAGAACTGCTAACTTAAACAAAGGCAGCATTTTTGTCATGGGCTTGACAAATGTGTCAAATGTCATGCTTCTTTTCATCCCCAGTCAGCTGGATTTCCTCCCCCTACAGGGTGCAATGTTGAGACTGCTGGCCAACTGGAGAGCCTGCTGTGATTAGTCAGTGCTTTCAGCATCATACCTATTGCACTGCAGTAAGGAAAGTTCATTCTATTTCTTCCTTTGATTTATAGCAGTATTTAAAGAAATGTCTTATATAGGCTCTAGGTGCATTTGACACAGAAAGGTAACACGATTACAGCAGACTGTCCTTGCCCTAAAGCCCAGATTAAAAATGAAAGCCAATTAAAGCCATGAGTGGCCACTGATAGTTTTTTCAGATTGAATGGCTTTCAAAGGGTCCTAAGCCTGAGCTCCAAAATTTGTGCAAAATGTACTGTGACAAATACAAGTCTCTAGCAATGGTGTACTATTCAACACTTTAAAAGAATGCACAATAAACACAAAGTAGGATGCAAGTGAGTGTGCAAAAAAAGTACTGTTTCCCTGAAGGCAACTGAAAAAAGGGATTTTGGCAGGATAAATTGTATTCCTAACTGAGCTATGTCTAAATGCTAGCATTTAAATCCACAATTAAATGTGGGCACAATTTTATGCAAGAAGGACAGCTTTAAAAATCAGGCCTTTAGCATTTCAGTTTCCCATTTGGAAAATCTGGATGATAATGTGTACTTCACAGAGATTTTAGAAAGAGTAATCAGACAATGTTTGTGACATGCACCACTGACATCAAGGAGAATTTTACCACTATTTCAGCGGCAGCAGGCTCAGGGCCCTAAAGATGTGTGTTACTACTTTTATTCCTCCGAATCTTGCCAATAGGTTCCAACAGCCTCATTCCCCCAGAGAGCAGGATTCTGTTTATGAACCCAGGATCTTAAAAGGTCAACTACAGAACCAATCTCTTAAACTTAGTCAATGACCTCACAGGCACAGAAGTGAAAGCAGCAGCAAGTGGTTTTCTTTTAAAAAGTATTTCACTTGCAAAAACACCCTTTATTTCCCCCCATCTTTCAGAGCACTTTTATCTCTAATGAGATAGTATTTCAATTGAAATAAATTAGTTAGCTGAAAAATCTTAGGTATCATTGAAATTCCATTTGATGTTCTTTGCAGCACCCAAAGGTAGGATAATGCCTATTCATATTTTCATTACAAAAATATAATAAAGAGACTTGAATATCTAATGGTTACATTAGTCAGAATTACACTCTACAGAGGATCACAAATAGATAACTTCCTGTCACCTGTTGACTATATAGAAAGAAAAAGACTGAAGTAAGGAAAGTTTCAAGAGGGAAGAAAAATATGACTGCTTTTCTAGATAAAACAGATGGGAAAAAAAAAGTAAAACTTACCACCGGCAAATTACTATCCAGCTTAATACTGCCAAACCACTGACCATAGTAACTCCTAAAATGATGGAGATTAAAGAGCCTTTAGGAATCCTTCCAGAATCTGAAACATGAAAAAAAGCCATGTTTCATTTGCATCAGCAAAAACAGCAAATGGTATTAACGTGTCAGTCATAGTAGTTTTCTAACAAGTAACTTCATACTTTCTGCAATAAATAGGAAGAACTGCAAGGCCACTACATTGTTCTCCTTCAAATCTTTCTTTCAGCCTCTTCACTGATATCTATAAAATACTGGAAGTTGAAGCTAGACAAATTCAGACTGGAAATAATGTGTATATTTTAAACAATGAGGGTAATTAACCATTGGAACAATCTATCAAGGGTCATGGTGGATTCTCCCTCACTGTTTAATTTTTAAATCAAGATTAGATTTTTTTTCCCAAAAAATATGTCCTAGGAATTGTTTTGGGGAAGTTCTGTGGCCTATATTATAGACGGGGTCAGATTAGATGAACACAATGGTCCCTTCTGGCCTTAAATCTATGACTCCCTACTTAATAATGACTAGCCAGCAGGTGTGATGTGACTGCTGTGTATCTTGTAGACCATAACTGTTTCATTGTTACTTTGTGATTCCTCCCCCCGTCTGTTGTTTCCACCTGTCGTCTCTCATCTTCTACCTAGACTGTAAATTCTTTGGGGGCAGGGAACATCTTTTTGTTATGTGTTTCTTGCCTGCACAATGATGCTAGAGCTTCTGCAATACAAATAAATAATAATAATACCAAGATGCATCATTATCCAATCTATAAGAAATCAGGCTTATATAGCAAATAGAGTGCCAGATTCTGCACCTCATCCTTACACAGGTACACAATTGGAAGGAAAGGAATAAGGAGCCTTCCCTCATTTCTTGCATAGTCTACATCTAGCTAAGTCACAATGGTAGTCCCTGCATTCAGTGGAACACAAGGACTGCTCCCTCCCTATTCAAAGCACCTCAAAGCATACAGAGGAAAGGTGGAGAAACAGATGAGTCAAATACTGAAATCCTTGGTCAGATTTTACTCAGTGCTTAATTAGGTAAAACTCCCACTGAGAAAGGCATTCATCACCCTTGCAGTATCAAAATCATTACCATCCAATGTCTGTTCATTAGCCTGACATATGTTGGCAGAGAGACAAGGTGAGGTAATACCTTTTATTGAACCAGCAAGTTGGTGGGAAAGACAGACTTCCGTGCCACACAGAGACCTGAAGAAAATCTCTGTGTGGCTCGATAGCTTGTCTCTCTCACCAATGGAAGTTGGTCCAGTAAAAGATATTACCTCACCCACCTTGTCTATCTAGTATCCTGGGACCGACTAGGCTACAAGTACACTGCACACGTTGGCAGACTCAGTTCAGATTCTATATACACAAAAGACACCATAATAACTGATATAAATGTCACCTTTGTTGACCATCTCAGACATTTCAGTTAGAGCTGGTTGAAATTTTTCAGTGAAGTATTTTTCCATTGCCAAATGCTGGTTTATTGACACCAAAATATGAATGAATGAGACTTACCCCAGAATAGCCAGTCACTTGGTGGTCAGGGTATTTCTCTTGCATATGGAAGACCAGGGTTCAAGTCTTAGCATGGCCTGATTTGGAGCAGGGACTTGAACCTGAGTTTCCCAATTCCCAAATGAGTGCCCTAACCACCAGGCGACTGGCTATTCTGGGATGAGTGTCTCACTCTCCTGTGTTTTTTCACAAAGAATTTCAAAAAGTTTCATTTTCATTCTGCATTGGAATGGAAATAATTTTTGAAACCTGAACATTTTTTGTGAAACAGAATTGACATTTTCTGGCCAGCCCTGATTTGAATACCTGAGAATCTCAGCTCTAGAAGTGATCCATTCAGAACACACTTGAGACTTATCAGTTGAGTATTATTGAGAAGCTTGCCCTGCCAGTGTCCATGCTCTCTCTGCACTAAAGATTTAGTCTATTGGATTATTAATTTAGCACCCTTTTATGAGAAGGAGCGTTTCTCTGATCTAGCCATGGGGAGCTGTAATAAACTTGTCTCAACTATAAATTGCTTTTTGTCTATGTATCATACAAACTGATTAAATAGTCCAATGAAGCAATTTATATTTTGTTTACAAGTCAAAATATTAAATTATAAAAAGCTATTAATCAAATTCAATAGTCAAGTAAGAAAAGGAACTAAAAGTGGAATTTCCAGAAAGAGAATATGTAATCCCAGTGCTAGCAGTAATCATGGAGGCCCTAGGGAAAGCCATGGAAGAAATTGCAGTGGGGTTAAATGGTTATAACCCTGGGAGTCTGGGCTGGGGTGATGGACTTCTGGCTAGGGATTCCCTCTGAGGCTTCAGGGGTCACTCCTGCAGTCTGCTGCTTAGCGCAGTCGTGTTCATCTTTCCCCACTAACTGCAGTTCCCTCCCTTTTAGTGGCCTCATGTATGATTGACAGGGCCAGAGGGGTGGGATTATCCTTGTCCCCAGGGCCTCTCTTGCACATTCCTCATCCTTGTGTGGGTCACAGAATCATAGAATCATAGAATATCAGAGCTGAAAGGGACCTCAGGAGGTCATCTAGTCCAACCCCTTGCTCAAAGCAGGACCTAATCTCAACTAAATCATCCCAGCCAGGGCTTTGTCAAGCCTGACCTTAAAAATCTCTAAGGAGATTCCACCACCTCTCTAGGTAACCCATTCCAGTGCTTCACCACCCTCCTAGTGAAAAAGTTTTTCCTAATATCCAACCTAACCCTCTCCCACTGCAACTTGAGACCATTACTCCTTTTTCTGTCATCTGCTACCACTGAGAACAGTCTAGATCCATCCTCTTTGGAATCCCCTTTCAGGTAGTTGAAAGCAGCTATCAAATCACCCCTCATTCTTCTCTTCTGCAGACTAAACAATCCCCGTTCCCTCAGCCTCTCCTCATAAGTGATGTGCTCCAGACCCCTAATAATTTTTGTTGCCCTCCGCCGGACTCTTTCCAATTTTTCCACATCCTTCTTGTAGTGTGGGGCCCAAAACTGGACACAGTACTACAGGTGAGGCCTCACCAATGTCAAATAGAGGGGAACGATCACATCCCTCGATCTGCTGGCAATGCCCCTACTTATACAGCCTCAAATGCCGTTAGCCTTCTTGGCAACAAGGGCATACTGTTGACTCATATCCAGCTTCTCGTCCACTGTAACCCCTAGGTCCTTTTCTGCAGAACTGCTGCCTAGCCACTCGGTCCCTAGTCTGTAACAGTGAATGGGATTCTTCCGTCCTAAGTGCAGGACTCTGCACTTGTCCTTGTTGAACCTCATCATATTTCTTTGGACTCAATCATCTAATTTGTCTAGGTCCCTCTGTATCCTATCCCTACCCTCCAGCATATCTACCACTCCTCCCAGTTTAGTGTCATCTGCAAACTTGCTGAGAGTGCAGTCCACACCATCCTCTAGATCATTAATGAAGATATTGAACAAAACCGGCCCCAGGACTGACCCTTGGGGCACTCCACCTGAAACCGGCTGCCAACTAGACATGGAGCCATTGATCACTACCCGTTGAGCCCGACAATCTAGCCAGCTTTCTATCCACCTTATAGTCCATTCATCCAGCCCATACTTCTTTAATTTGCTGGCAAGAATACTGTGGGAGACCGTATCAAAAGCTTTGCTAAAGTCAAGGAATAACACATCCACTGCTTTCCCCTCATCTACAGACCCAGTTATCTCCTCATAGAAGGCAATTAGGTTAGTCAGGCATGACTTCCCCTTGGTGAATCCATGCTGACTGTTCCTGATCACTTTCCTCTTCTCTAAGTGCTTCAGAATTGATTCCTTGAGGAGCTGCTCCATGATTTTTCCAGGGACTGAGGTGAGGCTGACTGGCCTATAGTTCCCCAGATCCTCCTTCTTCCTTTTTTTAAAGATGGGAACTACATTAGCCTTTTTCCAGTCATCCGAGACCTCCCCCGATCGCCAGGAGTTTTCAAAGATAATGGCCAATGGCTCTGCAATCACATCCGCCAACTCCTTTAGCACCCTTGGATGCAGCGCATCCGGCCCCGTGGACTTGTGCTTGTCCAGTTTTTCTAAATAGTTCCGAACCACTTCTTTTTCCACAGAGGGCTGGTCACCTTCTCCCAATACTGTGCTGCCCAGTGCAGCAGTCCGGGAGCTGACCTTATTCGTGAAGACAGAGGCAAAAAAAGCATTGAGTACATTAGCTTTTTCCACATCCTCTGTCACTAGGTTGCCTCCCTCATTCAGTCAGGGGCCCACACTTTCCTTGACTTTCTTCTTGTTGCTAACATACCTGAAGAAACCCTTCTTGTTACTCTTAACATCTCTTGCTAGCTGCAACTCCAAGAGAGATTTGGGCTTCCTGATTTCACTCCTGCATGCCTGAGCAATATTTTTATACTCCTCCCTGGTCATTTGTCCAGTCTTCCACTTCTTGTAAGCTTCTTTTTTGCATTTAAGATCAGCAAGGATTTCACTGTTTAGCCAAGCTGGTCGCCGGCCATATTTACTATTCTTTCTACATATCGGGATGGTTTTTTCCTGCAACCTCAATAAGGATTCTTTAAAATACAGCCAGCTCTCCTGGACTCCTTTCCCCTCATGTTATTCTCCCAGGGGATCCTGCCCATCAGTTCCCCATCAGTCAAAATCTGCTTCTCTGAAGTCCAGGGTTCATATTCTGCTGCTCTCCTTTCTTCCTTGCGTCAGGATCCTGAACTCAACCATCTCATGGTCACTGCCTCCCAGGTTCCCATCCACTTTTGCTTCCCCTACTAATTCTTCACGGTTTGTGAGCAGTAGGTCTAGAAGAGCTCTGCTCCTAGCTGATTCCTCCAGCACTTGAACCAGGAAATTGTTCCCTACACTTTCCAAACACTTCCTGGATTGTCTGTGCACCGCTGTATTGCTCTCCCAGCAGATATCAGGGTGATTAAAGTCTCCCATGAGAACCAGGGCCTGCTATCTATACACCTCATCACATCACCCCTTAACCTTCTCTTTGTTAAGCTAAATAGATTGAGCTCCTTGAGTTTAACACTATAAGGCCAGTTTTC